GTAATTTTCCTGAACAGCCTCTGCTGCTTTAAAATAGTTTTGTTTTCCAAGCCACCTAGAGCTTGAAGTAGATAAACCGGATTCGTTACTTGCATAAGGTGACAATTGGTTTTAAGGTTTTTTTTTTTTTTTTTCTCTTAGATTTGCACTGTTCTTTACCTAACACCTATGAATCACCACATAACTTTCAGACATTCTTGAATAGGATCTCTCTCTATTTATGTAAATATAAGCTTCATGCTTAAAGTAAAAGAAAAGAGGTATTTGCTGAGCCAAGAGAAGGCTTCTAATATTAATATGACCCTGATGCATAGTATGCAGAGGGTACAATTTGGCCCTACTTCCTCCAGCTACTCAAATCTTTAAAACTTATAATCCCCAACCACTGCAAACCATGTATATTTTTGGCATCTCTTTATTTATTTATTTATTTATTTATTTTTCTTATTTTACATATCAACCCCAGGGTGATTTGGCATCTCTTTTTAACTTCATATGTCTTTTGAGTAAGTATACTGTACTGAAACCAAATACCTTGGTCTTTTACTGCACAAGGTCCTGCCCTATCATCTTAATCCTGTTATAGTCACACTGCTGCTGATCTTCAGTCACTTTGAACTGTTGTCTGTCTTTCAATGGACATGGTAATATAATAACCCTTATTTAACTCATCTTCCTTAAACTTCATATACGAACCTAACAAAATATGTCTAGAGAAAAATACATTCCTAACTCAAACATGTAATATTAGCTTTAATCATGCCTTCAGAGCTGCCAATAAACATACTCTATTTCTCCAGAACAAGGATTGGCAAATTTTTTCTATAAATGACCATATATCAGATGTTTCAAATTGTATGTGCTACCATGCCTCTCCTATACCTACTGAATTCTGAGATGTGCAGTAAAGAAAGCAATAGCAGTAATATTAGTCTCTACACATAATAGGAGCCTAGAAATATCATAATTCACTTGTACTAAATTCTCATGTAACATTATATAATGGCTGCATATAACCTATGCATATCCTTTCATAGAATACAGTATAAATTCTGTTGTTTGAATAGTTGCCAGACTGTTATTCAGGGAAGACTGATGGGAAAAAAAAGTGTGCCCATGTTCAATATAGACACAGTGGCTTTTTCCAAATGATTTAAAAGACAAAGTATAACATAAGTTTAAGGTGAGAAATATTAAAGAAAATAATTGATCATGTAAGATATTTTAGGGTTGTTGCAGCTTTGAGACAGGATGGGGATTATCAAGGAGATTTTCTATAGAAGGGAGGTTATTTAATAAAACAGAATAACTCAGATCAGACCCTGTCTGTTGTCACCATCTATCTCTTCTCTACTCCACAGGCAAAACTATCCCCTCACAAAGTAAGTGAAAACATGCTACTTCTTCCATCCATCCTCTGAAGCAGGTGTGCCCAACCTGTGGTCCTTAGGCAACATGTGTCCCAAGATAAATATGACCCAGTATATTTGTAGATGACATTATGTCTCATTGTCAAGTGGTTAGCTGTATACAAGTGTTTATTGCCATATACAATAGTGAAAGACAAAGGTCTCCTCAATCAGCTTCCAAAGCTTTCTAAGTTTCCTCCAGATATACACCCCTTCTTAATATTCTTTTCTGTACATAAGAAATTCTTTCCTGGCACCATGTACTTGCCCTTCTCTCTCCCTAGACTTCATTCCATCAAGATATCTTGCTCAGTATGTCTCTTCAACTGCATTCCCCTTCACACCAGTGAACAAAATACTTCATACCTTCCAGTCTACCCTAGAAGCTTCATCTTTTCATACAGTAATTCCTACCACTTTACATTTACTAATCCAGTTTCATTATACAATTTGCTTCACTTACGGTCCAAAACTAGTAAGTGTGCAAGTGTTCCTAAGTATTCCAGAAGACCATGGCCCTAAGTATCTTCCTTAATGCACTCAACGTTACTGGTTTGTTGCCCAGCTCAGACTCCTCCTTGTGGAGTCTTCACTAATGTACTGCTACAGACACCCAGCAAACCTCTGATCATACTTGACTATGAGTCCTCCATTTATCCTCCTTACTTAGCTATTGCCCAAAGTACATGGAAGATAATTCTGTGGCAGATATCCAGTAGTTACACAGAAGCATCCAATTGCCTAGAACCCTGAAAAAATGCAATTAAGCTATGTGACAAAAACAAAAGAATAAGGAAATTGGTTTCTCAGTTAAGTAGCCAATATAGGTCTCCAGCTTCCTACTAAGCATATTTTCTTGAAAGACACAGTAACTTGTTCAATTAAATATGGAATTTGTATATCATTCCCATTTTCCTATCTCATTGAAGGGCTTCAAACACACATTCACTAAAGCTATTAGAAATTTTTTACTCTTGATAATGTCTCAACATGTGTAGATATAATGTTTCTTTTTAAATATCTCTCAATATTATCTATTACATTCCATCTTCACACTTTCAATCCACTTCGAGAAACACCAATTTTCTCTATCTTGAATTTCTGTAAAAGGGTCCTATCCTGTAAAAGCCTTTCTCTCTGCACCTGTGTGACTATCCTGGGTCTGTTAGGGGGATGGCTAAGTCTCCATTGGCTTTCCTTTGTTTCTGAAGGAATAAAAACTTTAATAACTTTGCTCATGAAGAATTGCTTGACTGTGCCCCTAAGGAAGCTTCACTGTTCTTATCCACTATTTGAACCACAGACACGCAGAGATTTTTCATTCTTCAAATCCATCATTGTTTTGCTCCCAAGCTGAGTTTAAACTATATCTTGTCTTCCTGGAAATTTCCTCTCCTTTTCCTCATTTGTATGCAGCCTTCTCCATTCTTGAAATCTTTCTTAATTAGTGTTGTTACACGTATATACAAATGTATATGTGTGCTTTGTGCGACGTTTTATTAACAGTTCAAGTTGGTGAAAGTTTTGGGATGATTTAAAATTTGAGATTATAACACTGTAAACAAACTTCCATAATTTTCATGAATATAATTAAGTGATTAATTGCAAAATGGTATTGTACCTCCTTCATTTGAGAAAAATGAAATCTTGGAATGGCCACTATCTTATTCTGAACTCTACTCCAAATACCTTCTACTATGTTTGACATAGATTTTTTTTTTCTTATATATTTGTAGAAGAAAACAAATTCTCAAGCTAGGAAATAGATCACTCAAGGAAGCCAATTTGTTTTTCATAACTGCAAAGGTATTTGGATGAATCAGTAGGTTGGTAAATCTTTATTTTGGCAAATGGTTATGTTAGGAGTGACTATCAAAAGCTTTAGGTAAATATATTCTAGTAGCTATTTTGCATTTAAATATGGTAATAGTGTACTTTCCAAATAGGAAGTGGTATCTGCCAAAATTCTATTTCATTTTGTTATTTTCCTTTAATGGATCATTTCTAAATTTCTAGGATTGATGATAGCATTTGATTATCATAATTTTAATGAAAATTTTGGTGAACAGGGTCTGATATAGTTCAATTGTTATTGCCTTTATAAAGCCCATGAAGTACTGTAAAATGGTAATATAAATACACCATAAGTTCTAGTTAGTAAAAGATGAGAATTTTAGATCATTTATTTTAGTTAACACATGTCTTGAAAGTCTGTATCAGGATGTCAAAGAGATGGTTTCATGGTTAAGGTTCAACTTCCAGTACTGACAATGACATCTATTACTCAAGTCTCAGAGATCTAGCACCCTCTTCTGGCCTCAATGGCACTGTGTGTATGTGGTATAAAGAAACACATGTAAGCAAAACACAAAATAAAAAATAAAAAAGGATGAACAAATGTATGTTATTTATCCACATTTTTTTAGTATTTCATATTTATCCACTGCCATTTGAGTAGTTGCTTTGTACCAAGTATTTTATACCCCTATGGACAACTAACTAACGTTCTTGCCCTTTCATAGATGAGACATTAGATAAGGCAAGCAGTGAGGATTGCTGTGACCACTACAATACAATAGACATAATAAAAATTGGTCAGAAATTGGATACACTACTTAGATGGAGTCATAGTTTCCAATAAAAGAAAAGAAAAGGAGTCAAACCTTACTTCACATTCATTGGCTTGAGGGATGCAACTCCAGTTATAGCAGCCAATATCCAAATAACTAAAGTTGTTAACTCTTCAGAACTTGTCTTGAGAGCATAAAAGACAAAGTGCACTACATCAAATAAGGCACCCTTCTCGTTGAACCAAGTGTATTTTCATACATTACTTCTCTTTGATCTCTGTTGTCTCTTCTTCTGCCTGCCCACATTGCTAGGTGGATCTTTGAACCTCTATTGAGATCTAATGAATGACTAATGCATGGGCCCTTTTCCTGTTCAGGGAAAATTTGCTGAATTTCAATTGTCTGAAGTTGTTAACAACTGTAATGATAATGCACAGACCTAAAATAAAGCTATTGCCAATGCAGCATTGACATAAATTTTTCTCCAATAAGTCCTTTAGTTTACCAGTCTCCCTGTAGCACTCCTATTGGCAACAAAAAAAAGTGGTAGGAAGAACTAGAAAAAGCAAGTGTGATTTTTTTCCTGTGAGAGAGGAAAAGAGATTTCTAATTGAGTGATAACAAACTAACACAAACTCAGACACACCATCAAATTGACTGTGCTTTGATCAGTGAACACAAACAGACTAATTCAACAAAAACTAAGTATTTAAAAAAAAATTAAGTCAATGAAAATATGCCAAGAAGCACCTTTATTGATGTCTATGCCTTTATGATCATGGAATACAATAGATCTCTGGGATTTTTTTTTTCTCAGCAGTCTTTGATACATGCCATGTTCACCAGAAACAATTGAAAATTTTCATTAAGAATGAGTGTATTTTTTTTAAATTCTGCATTTTTGCCATTGTTTCTAACTTAGGGTATAGATATTTTACTGTTTTTTATTGGAGGAATGATCCTTTTATGACATTCAACTCTCTGTTATAGTGCATTTGAACTTTTTGCTCTTTCTAGAATTTCAGTGTCTTTCTTTTTCCTCTTCTTCCTCAGGTAACATCTCGACATTTTGCTTTTGTTCCTTAAGTTCTGTTCCAATACTTTCCTTTTCCATCTTTGGTGATCTCTTAACTTTATGTTTTTTTCTCCTAGGTAATGCTGCGATGTATCTCCTTCTTTTCTCATATCTTTTATTCTCTAAATACAAAAAGAAAAGTAACAAGAAGGAACTTAAAATAAAAACCAAAATCCAAACAAGAAATACAATGTAAAACACATTCAGTGATCTTCTCTGGGGAGGTGGGCCACTGTCAATACTACCTCCATAACCCATTTTTAGGCAGTTGGGTGGGGCCCAATATTCATTGCAGTGGCAGTGATGTTTATTGTTACAGATCCCTCTCTTATTGCAGAACATGGGCATGCAAGATTCTTCCCATGGTGGCATGAAGACACATTTCCTTTCTAAGCACAAAAAGTCTGGGCCACATTCTGTACCATCCTTCACTTCACCGATATCAGGCACACTCATCCCAAAATGGTAGTCAGTACTCCAGCAGCTGTGTCCATCAACGTGAGTTGAATGCACAGTAGAATGATTGTGCAGATGAGGAACTACTGTCACATTCTCACACTGGACTCTCCCACACAGAGCATCTTTATGATGACATCTTACATACTTAGTATCTTGCATACCACAATGACCAAAACGATCACCTCTGGTGTTCATTGCTAGGTAGCAGTTCTTATTTGCATTCTTGGCTCCTTCACCAAAAAGTTTTCTGCACTGCTCATTACGGTCATTACATCTCTTTTGAAAACAAATATTCCTGCCCAGACAGTGAATCCCTTCCTCCACATACACATCTTCCGGGCACGCCCCAGAGGTACCATTGCACCACTCTGGCAGATCACATGGATTGTCCTGTTCCCTACACACTGTGCCTGATGGCATGAACTGACAGTTTTGGCAACACAGCCCAGAAGCACACACTGCCCCTGATACCAGAGTGCAGTTTTCTGAACAACATGTATCTTGAGCACACTGTTTTAAGGAACCACAGTCACATTCCTCCTCACTTTCAATAATACCATTCCCACAGCGTTTCTTTGTAGTGATATCCTTTAAATTTTGGAGATTGTGCAAACAATTCTTTCTAGAAATAGTTTCTAGAAATTGTGCATAACTACAGTTGCTGAATGTATCTGAGGGTAGTAGCTTTTTGTTCATTACACATATGTTTCTCCCACATGTACAATAGTTACCTTCATCATTCATCATCCCCAATGCATGACCAATCCCATGTGTCACATATGTCCTAAATGAAGCCAATCCATCATCCATAATGCACTCTAAACCACAATTCAAATTAATATTACATACTTTTGAAAAATATGCCATAGTAAGATCATTGACACAAAAATCCTGTTTCACAATAATATGTGCAGAATCATGAGCCACGCGTTTATTGAAGCTGAATCTCTTCCATTTGCAAAACTGTTCCATCATATGACGTGTGGTTGTTACTATATATGGGTTTCCCGAACTCCAAATTTCAACTGTAATCAGAACCACGTCAAGATTAATTGAGTTATAAATATCATCTACTAAATTGACACCCATTAATACATCCATCTCCACAATCGATACATTACTATTCCTAAAAGCGAATCTCCCATGATCTACCACAATTGCTAGTTCAAGGAACCATCGATGAAGCCACCATCCTGTGTAAGGTCTTTGCATCAAAGTGGAATCAGCATTCTTTTGAAACTTCAGTTGCTCTGCTATTTCTTCCTTAGTTAGTCTACAATTTATGGCTGCATGCTGTGTGTCCTCCATCTTATACACCAAATGTTCAAATGTGACAGGGAGCACTTTGGGCTTGATTTCATAGGTGGTTCCATTTGTCTGCAGCATCCCTTGAAAACCTCCTAGACAAGTACTAAGAGTAACCATGGATTTAGGGTCCCCTTCCACATAACCATGGTAGTAGCAATCATTTTGAACAAAAGGCTGATCTTCAAGAAGAGAACCCTGATCATTGTAAGTGAACACAGTGAGAGATCTGGGCACCAAATGCTTCTTGGCCTTCATGTGGACAATGTGTCTCTGGCCCCCGAAGTGCAGGCTATAGGAGATCCAGCCTAGAGCTTCCATACCTCTATAAGTGCCAGTGACTCTCAAAGGTATCACTACTTCAGGGGGGCTGTGGTATTGGGATATACCAGTCTGTGGCCACACAGATAGAAACAGGGTTAATTCCAGCCAGCGTGGCAAGAGAGTGCTCTTCACATGCACCAGGATCTCCAGCACTGTCATTATGAAGTACAAAGTGAGAACGAAGGATGTAGAGACCTTTTCTCTTTTTTAGTGTGTTGTAGGTGGTGGGCGTGTTGAATGGCCAGGCTTCTGGAGGAGTCAATCCATCATGGGGAAAACTGAGGGTAAAAAGAAAAGGGATGGCAGAAAAGGATTTGGGAATGGGCAGACTAGGTGGGGCAGAAAGAACAGAGATTGGGTTAAAATGGTTTAGTGTGTAGCTCATGGAATGACTCATTACAGTGTACTGCTCATAAATATTGGTTAGTCAGAATTGGAGTCCAGTGAGCAAAAGCCCAGCAACTGACCATGAATTGATAATTATAGTGTTCACAGAGAGTCATTCATGATATTGTTCATGTGCTTGTATGTATATGTGCATGTATATTGTCTCCACTACAAATAAATCAAATAATGTCAGTAAAAACATAACTACCTTGTTTTGATAGGGAGTCATGATTTGCACACAATGACTTAGGAAAACTCCATTATTCTCCTTTGTATTTCAAAGGACTAATATTATTCAGGAGAAGTATGTAAAAGTTTTTCATACACATTATTTTATCACATATATTACTTATTTATTTTATATGAAATCATCTTCAGTATTCCTACTTCTGTAAACTCCATCTAATCTTGTGAAACATTAAAGTATGAAAGTATCACTAACAATTCATTCTTATGGTAATGGATATATTCAATGATGCACACACCTAGGAACAAAAAAGTAGTACACTTGCAGACTGGAATAGTACAGGTAAATAGATATGTTATTCAAAGGTTTCTATATCTAGTTCTATTGTTTTTCTTTAAGCCTCTAAGCATATTAAGCAGAATATAACTCTAGCTTAGTAATGGAACACTTGGAGATGGAAGAATATGTAAGAGAAAAAAATATGTGAAGAAATTAAAAGGAAGCCAATGAACCCCAAGAAGAGGGTAGAAGTTTTGGTAAAAATAGTGCTGTTGTTTGGTGCAACAATATATAAATATCCCTGTGACTTTTAAAAGTATAGGCTGATATGTGTAATCAGCATTCAGAGATATTTATCTTATAAAGTTATACAAGCAGAGGCATGAGCCTGCACACACACACACACATACACACACACACACACACACACACACACTCATATATTAAATACCAAAAACCTCAATAATACAAATGTGAAATTGAGAATTATGCTACTGACAGAGTTACTACCAACTTGAACTTATTTCTTCATTCTTAAATAAAACAGGAATGAAACTATATTATATGCATACACTGGGTTGCATAGCTGGGGAAATATGTACATGTACCGACTTAAATAAATTAGACATGTAGAACATACCATTAGGCCTAGCATTTTTTTCTCTTTTTTATTTTATTTTATTTTTTTTATTTTACATGTCGATCCCAGTTCCTTCTCCCTCCCTCGCTCCTTCCCTCTTACGCTCTCTGCCCCCTCACATGCACCCTGGCCACCCTCCCCTCCCATCCCCCCCACCCCCATTCCACATGTAGGGCTATGCTATCCAGGTGGGGTCATCTAAATCTGTCAAGGCATTTGAAGTAGGGACTAAGACTTCTCTCCTGTCTCTAGGTTAAACATCCTCCATGGGGGATGTTTCCACAAGGTCCTTTTGTGCACCAGGGATACACCCTGGTTCTACTATCTGAGGTCCCTTAGACTGCTCAGTCCTAGCTGAGATCCATATTCAGGGGGTCTGAGACAGTCCCATGCTGGTTTCCCAAATATCAGTCTGGGGGCCCATTAGCTCCTCCTTGTTCAGGTCAGCTGTCTCTATGTGTTTCTGCAAACTGGTCTTGTCCTTTCTCTCTGCATCTGAATTCTACTTCGACTCAGTGTTTAGTTATGGGTGTTTGCTTCTGTTTTCAGCAGGTACTAAATGAGGATAGTGGATAAGTTAGTTGTTGATCTCACTATCAGGGAAGGGCATTTATTTTATGGTAGCCTTTCCATGGTTGCTCAAATTGTTAGTTGGTGTCAGTCTTGTAGGTCTCTAGACCTTTCTTTAGGTTCAGTTTTCTCTTCAAACCAATGAAAGAAACACCATATGATCATCTCCCTAGATGCTGAAAAAGCCTTCGACAAAATCCAATACCCTTTCATGATAAAGGTCTTGGAGAGATCAGGGATAACAGGAACACACCTAAACATAATAAGAGCAACATACAGTAAACCAACAGCCAATATCAAACTGAATGGAGAGAAGCTTAAGGAGATTCCAATAAAATCAGGAACAAGACAAGGCTGCCCTCTCTCTCCATATCTCTTCAATATTGTATTTGAAAATCTAGCTAAAGCTATAAGACAACAAAAAAGAGATCAAGGGGATCCAAATTGGAAAGGAAGAAGTCAAACTGTGCCTATTTGCAGATGATATGATAGTTTATATAAGAGACCCAATAAACTCTACTAGGGAACAAATGATAAACACCTTTAGCAATACTAGATAAACTAAAAAAGAAAAAATCAGTATCCCTACTAAAATCAGATGACAAAGGGGCTGAGAAAGGCCTAGCATTTAAGACAACAATATGCTTTATGGGTCTATAGACTTGTATTGTTTTAAGTATGATTCCTATGCTTTTTTGTCTGTTTTTAACCTATTGAGTATATTTACACATCTCATCATGTTGCTAAAGAAGTGAATTTATTAAGTAATGAAGTTAAAGATTCCTAGGTTAGCTACAGTGAAAATCTGCTATGAAAGAATTCAATTGCACCAAAGAAAAAACATACCACCATAGTAAATATAAAATAAATGTTTACAATATTCAACACCTACCTATGTCAAGACTTAGAACCTATTTATCTTCAGGTATTCTTTTATCATAATCCTATGTAGTCTGACTTGTTCCCTTTAAATAACTACTTTGCTGTTACATATGGAATATTATTTTCACGAAAAACAGAAAGATCCCTTCTCTTTATATGTGTTTTTTGGAGAACTTTGTCTTACCTGATGGTACAGAAAGTTTACAGCAAAAATAGGAGAATGTTTTTACTTTTGGTGTTTCAATATGCAATACATATATAACTAGGTGTTCAGCTATGATTTTTTATTTCCAAATCCAATTTTTGTTAGAACTTTGTAAAACTATTACTGAGTTTTCTTCCTTAGTCGTGTACCAACATACTAAATAGTCCTCAAAAGTAATAGGGTGGCCAGGTGTCTTACCAGTATCCTCACATAAGCATGCTAAGCTTATGAAGAACCCATAAAACATAAATTTTCACCTTTATAGTTTATCTTAAACCATATTTACCATCAGTTTAAGATCATGACCTATACAGTATTAGCACACTTGAATATCTAACTCATATATTAAAAAAATTAATAATCTTTATTCCTAACTGAAAATTACTCTTCAAATCTTCAAAGGATCCAACTGTTTTCTTATACTTCAAGTTAATTTCATTATATCTGCCATCACTATTGCCCAACTAGGAGTGCCACAAATTCAATCATCTTTGACCCAAATCCTCAACTCAATTTAGAATAATGCTTTTCCACCTGCTGCAATATGCTAGCAATAGTGCTGGGGAGAAATCATAGTCTACTTACTTAAAGAACTATCAAATAAAAGAAAGCTAAAACTAGGACAAAGGAGCCCTATACTCTACCACCAAGGATGAAATCATGAATGGATATTCATTTTAAACACTCATATATTGTTAATGATCTGAGATTTATTGTCTTCATTATTTTGTAACTTTCTGGTTTTCTGAATGAATTTAATTGCCAAAGGTACCTGTAGTGGATAGAATAATAATGGCTCACATAGGCTCATATATTTGAATGGTTAGTCACCAGGGCATGGAACTCTTTGATGGTTAGAAGGATTAGGATATCTGGCCTTGTTAGTGGAAGTATTCACTGGGATTCTCTTGTTTTCTCTCTCTCTCTCTCTCTCTCTCTCTCTCTCTCTCTCTCTCTCTCTCTCTCTCCCATTAGCCCCCCTCTCTAATATATAGATCAGGATTTAGCTCTCAGCTACTGCTCCAGTATCATGCCACAATGCTGATAATGGACCAAATATCTAAAATTGTAATCAAGCACTCAATTAAATGCCTTGGTCATGGTGCCTCATCACAGCAATAGAAAAAAATGACTAAGACAAAAGTTGGTACTGGGAGTACAGTCAGCAATAGATCAGTGACTAAGAAAGTACCTAAGATGAAAATTAATGGTTTTTATGTGTAGATTGGGTAACTATATTTTAATACTGGTAATTTGAATTATATAATCAACAAACTTTCATTTACGACTTGTTTAATAGAGAATCAAATATTATGAGTCTTTGATTTGCCTTTGAAGAGAGGTGGCAGGAAGCTGTTTCAGGTTGAAAACTGACCTCACAGAGTAAAAGAAGGGTCTTGATTACTTAGTATGTAATCAACACTTCATAGGATGCATGGAGCTCATGTGGGTATGGTGGGTGGGTGGGGGGCAAAATCCCTAGAAGAAAACATCCAAGGTTTCTAATGAAATCCTGGAGCATTGTGTTGTTTTTCACCAACATATTTGATAATTATTATGAAGTTTAAATTTTATTTATGATAAGGAATCATTTATTATGTCCATGAATAAACTTAAATAATATTTATGTCCCATAAACAAGTAATAGGAAAGTTAACAATGAAAGTGCTTCAGTCAGACTGTCTTGTCACATTATTTTTTAAAATGACTCCAGGGACAAGAGTACCTGAGAGAATATATTTTGATAATTTTGCATAAAGTGACAGCATAGTAAGATACTTTTAAGTTAATGGCCATATATCATATTTGATATGTTCTCCTTTCTTCTCTATAGTCTCATCATATTATTAATCTCTTTACCCTAATTGCTATCTGACCTTCTTATTCTAACATGTAGCCTTATTTACTTTGTTTCAAATTATGATTAACAATATCAAATTAAAAATAATTTAGCAACATTGTCCAAATAAAATTATTAGTATTCAAAAACCACATTATTCTTTTTAATG